CGCGCTTAAGCCCTAAAGCGAGGCTCAAAACGTGTTGAGCGCTTCGCCTCGCTTTATGTGCGCTTCAGTGTCGTCATCAAAGTTCTAAGAAAAACTTTTCCTTTTCAATGAGCCTCTTATGAAGAAGTGACACTACACAATTGATATTTCACTTAATCATAAAAAAATTAAATTTCTTTGGTCATATATTTGTCATTCATGTTTATAATTATTAGTTTTGGACTAAACATACACATTTTATTTTTTCACCCTTTGCGCCTTTTTTCATTAAAGCCCACGCTTTATTTGCGCTTTGCGCTTAAAGCCCCCACTGACCTTAGAGCTTTTTTACGCTTTTCGCTTTTAATAACACTGGTTATCGGTTAATCCAATATTAAAAACTAATAACGAACCGATAACCCAATAATTTTTTTTTGTAAAACCATTAAATAACCGTTATCCCAATAACCCAATAACAATAAACCAATAACACTTTTTTCGGTTCAGTTTTTGCACACCCCTGGATAAAACCTCCATCTGAACCAAACAAAGAACACAAGGCACAAAGACACATGACAGCATATGAAGAACCACAAGTGCATAATGTTCAAGATCACACGGCTAATTATAAAAAAAAAAATCCACAAGTACGTCAAAGAAATGCAAGTGCATCCGGAACCATTGTCAAATATGAAGAAATACAAAATCCAAAAAAGTATTGTCGATACACATCTACATGGACAAAACCACAGATAAATCAACATAGAGCAATATTTTGAACTCATTAACAACACACTTCTGTAAGACGTAAGTAGGGAGGGATGATAGGAACTGGTCCAATTGGAGCATTAAGGACCCTTGACACAAAAAGAATAAGACAAGTGACAAGCTACAGAAAGTTCACACAATGCAACATACCAAAAATCAAAGGCTTATTAAAGAAATCTCTACAATGCTATAAGAGAAATACATAAAATGAATTCACATCCAATACATGCATGAAACGTGAACAGAGGAATAATAGTGACAGAAGGCTGGAAGTACTTGGAACAATTTTGTGTTCATCAGGGTTACATGCATTAGAGGTTGTAGAACCAAAAAAAGGCTAAGAACTAACTGCATAGAATAACAGAAGAAAAGACACAAAAGAGATCAATAATTGTTGTTTTCTTGGTAGTAAACTCATCTACATTAGAACTTGCTTCCAAAATTAGAAGTGAAAGAATACTACAGCATAAGGTAAATGTACATAGAAAAGTTTTCGGAAATCAACAAGCAGAGACAGAAGTGATGTTCTGGTGAAACTAGCGAGAATAACAATGCATGTGTTTATCTGTGTTCCCGAACTCAAAACTGGATCAGCTAAAACCTCCATCTGAATCAGACGAAGAACACAAGGCACAAAGAAACATATGAAGAATCACAAATGCATGATGTTCAAGATCACACTGCTAATTATAAAGAAGAAAACATCCACAAGTATGTCAAAGAAAAATGCAAGTGCATCAGGAACCGATGCCAAATATGAAGTAATACAAAATCGACAAAATATTGTCGGTACACATCTAGATGGACCAAACCACAGATAAATCAACATAGAGCAAATATTCTGAACTCAGTAAGAACACACTTCTGTAAGACATAAAAGTAGGTAGGATGATAGGAACTGGTCCAATTGGATCATTAAGGACCCTTGACACAAAAAGAAAAAGACAAGCCACAGAAAGTTCTCACAATGCAATATATTTAATTCTTGTTGAAGAAAAAATGTCTAAAATGCTATAAGAGAAATACATAAAATAAAAACAGATGAATAATAGTGACAGTAGGCTGGAAGTATTTAGAACTATTTTGTGTTCATCAGGGTTACATGCATTAGAGATTGTAGAGCCAAAAAAAGGCTAAGAACTGCAGAGAATAACAGAAGGAAAGACACAAAAGTGATCAATAACTGTCGTTTCTTGGTAGAGACACCATTAGAGTTGCTTCCAAAATAAGAAGTGAGATAACATTAAACAGTAGAGAATACAGCATAAAATGTCAATCTCCTTTCTGCTTCACTTAAGGTCCTAGACGCCTTTCTTTAACCTTCATAGGGCTCTAAGTTCTTGCTTAACCCTAATCACCCAAAAAGAGAAGAGAAAGGAAACTTAAAGGCTCAGTGACCTAATCAGGATTAATAAAATTTTAAAAAGAAAAGTGTGTACATAGGTGTGCGCATAATGTATTCATGAACAGATAAACTGTCTAGAGTGATTAGAAAAATGAGATTAGTACAAAAATCCCAATTGCATGAAGCGTACTGGTATGCATGATTTACAGCTACAGAGCCCCTGAACCCATAAACCCCCATTAATATGAGTGAAAAGAACTCATGAACATGCACATATCAAGAATCACAGTCTGTAACAAATGACAAAACAAGAGAAATATAGAACAACACCCAGAAATTGAGAATTGAGAATTGAGAAAGAACCAACAGAAGACTAAGAAAATAAATACATTTCATCAAGGGATGGAGAAAATGGAGAGTACCCCAATGAAACAATCATGGAACATTAGGCGTAATAGTTGTGCTGGGGCATTGTGTTGCAGCTGGACAATTGTCTTCATCTTCGACCACACAATGTCCTCAAGATCCTCACATTTATCATCATAATAACCATATCTGAGAAGAAAAGGGAATCCAGAGGCACTTCCTGGATCAACCTCTGCATGCGCAGCCATTGTAGTCACAAGGCAGATAACCAAGAATGAGAAAACCGCCATTAAAGCCCAGTTCTTGCTAAACATTGCGAAATGGGTGAAGAGAAAGTATAGAGATTGGGGGATACTGGTGTGGACTGACACCTGACTCGCCTTCTAATCTACAGCACTCTATATATACACAGAGAGAAGTAGGTAGCGCCAAAATTTGAAACAGAAAAAACGGGTATAATAAGTTTTTCTTTATGGGCACCAACGGTGAGTTCCCCAACTGAGACATTGCGATATCAGAATTGACAACAAATTCGTCTCAACTGAGAAATGGTGGAAGCGATTTGGAGGAATTGGGTACAGCTAGTGAAGATGGGTAAAAATGATAAAAGATGGTCGCTTATCTTTCGGATTAAATCTAAAATAGCCCTTTAACTAATTATATTTGTCAAAAATAATAGTAGTATTTACACTGCATTTTTATATGGTGATTTTTGCGATTTTGATAGCAATATTAAATTGTTATTGAGATTAAGAAATACTTGGTAAATAATAGAGATGACTTTATCAAATCACACCCTTATTAAATATAAATCATCTAAACATTGAAAAATAAATAATAAGGTAAAATAGATACAACATAAATTATTGTTGATTTTATTAACAATACTCCCTCCGTCCCTTTTTAGTTGTCCACTTTAGAAATGGCACACAGATTAAGGCAACAATGATTAGCACAGTGAAGTTACAATTTTACCCTTATGACAACTTTTCACTTCAAAATTACAACCACTTATTTGAATTCAAGTGAAGTAAATTGGAGGGAAACAACACACTTTTACAATTTTCAAGAAGTGTAAATAAGGGTATAATAGGAAAAAAATTGTTGTCCTTTCTTGATTTGTAAAAATGGACAACTAAATAGGGACTACCAAAAAAGGAAATATGGACAAGTAAATAGGGACGGAGGGAGTAAATAGAAAGCTATTGATAACTCACTTTCTAGAATTGAAACAACATAACTCTCCCAACATCTCATGATTTCTTTAACAGACTCCATCCTCCCTACTCATCTATTTACTTAAATGACTACTTAGGAGTTTCTCTTGTTCATAGATCTTGAAACCATATTATCATCAATTACTCAAAATCATTTCCTTAGGCAACAACAAAAGCTCCACTCTATCCCTACATTGTTATCTGACAAAGTAACCTGAGTGAATGGAAGTTCGCTCTTGAAAAACTCCAGCTCTTTCTTTTAGTTGACAACCATTTACATATGATCCCTGTCATTTCTCATAGACTTGAACATCTATTTATCAGTGGTAACTGGTAAGCAACCAGTATACATCTATTCTTGCACAAACTTAACATAAAACTGAGAGTTCATACAGCCTACCTACCAAGAATTACTAAAACTGCGAGGGTCGTTTGGTTGGGAACAACTTATTCCGGGATAAGTTATTCCAACATGTATATGAGATAACCTATCCCATCGCTAAGGTATAAATGATGTGATAAATAATCCTAGAATTGCCTAATACCTCCAACCAAACGCAGGATTGTTGAACATCCCAAATTAGTTTAGTGGACAAATAAAGATGGACGAAGGAAGTAATATTTACAAACATCACTCGTCATCTCCATTTACTAACATGCCTATGATGCGGCAGGTAAGAGTGGTACGTGACATTCAATTCACTTTAAAGTTGTAATGAAATATTTAAAGGTTCATAGTTAAAGTGTTAAAGTAAACTTTACTGTCATAGGATGGATTTAACGTATTTTCTTTTATTATTTTGATGGAATCATAGAGGCTATGTAAAACAACCTTCAACAAATGTTTATAGATAATTCCTGATTCCACCTACTCTTTAAAATGCATGTAAAAATATTTACTTTGTACTCACTTTTAAAATTCAGATATCTAAAGTAATTTTTTATATATAAAGAATTAAAAGAATGAGAATTACGAGCCTGCTTGGAAGTTTATAGATAATTTCTGATTCTACCATTCTTTAAAATGCATATAAAAATATTTAATACGTACTCACTTTTTAAATTTAGATATCTAAAGTAACTTTTTATATATAAAGAATTAAAAGAATGAGAATTACCAGCCTCTTTGGAATTTTAGAGCGGTGAAGAGATTTTATAAAATAAAAAAAAAGAAAAAAAGAGGTGCCAAAGACTGAAAACCAAAAAGGCGGGAAAGGATATTTTATTTTGTTTTTTTAGTTTTAATTTCATAATTACATGTTTTTTTTCCCTTAATTTTTTACCAAATTAAAATTAATATTTTACAGGTACATAATATTTTCGGAGAAATTTAAAGACTATTTATGTATTTTTATTTAAAAATAAATACTCCTCTCTTCCTATCTCTCCTTCTTTCCCCCAAATTCATCAGAACCCTAATTTCATCGATTCACCGGCAACACACCATTTTCCTCGATCGATCAGTCCGATTCCTCTTCCGTTACAGGTATGGTATGCTTATGATCGGTGTTATTTCGTTTAATTCATTATTTTTTCTGTTAGCGTCTCAGCTGATTGTAGATAACTGAACAGGAGATTGACGATGGAATCATCTTCGTCTGTCATAACGCCAGAAGATGTAATGGGGACACTCATGAACGATGGAACAATTGATTCCATGAGGTTGAAAATCATTACTCAGCTCAAAGCTAATGTATGGTTTGCTTTCACCTACCCACAATTACCTACTTTTTATTCAAACATATGTTTTCCTACTAATGTTTATCTAATATTATAAGTCGGTGTGTGCCGAGTACTATGAAACCCGTAACTCTTTTGTTATATGATTCCAGAATTTGAGTGTATGTTTATTTATTATGCCTTTAGTAAAAATATGTATATCGAAAAAAAGATTTCTCTGTCTTCAAGCACTCAGACTCTGTATGTGAGGGTATACACATTGCCTGAACATGCATCAGCCCCTTCTTGTTATTACACTGATAATCCATTTCTTTTGTCATGTAGGAAGAACTCAAGAATACCACCATAAAGATGGTTGAGCAAAGCAGGGTTCTGAACACACCTGGTGCAGAAAAGCAGACCAAAAGGGAGCTCTTTGATGCATTGCGACAAGAACTTGAGTATGTTTGTTATTTGTTCTGGTTTGGCTTCTGCATTATCTCAAGAAAGTTCAATTTGACAGCATGAAATATAATTGAAAGAATATTTTTTTTGAAACTTGGACTTGGTATATCCTGAATATATTATGATTCATCACCCGTAAATCCTAAATATATCTGTTATACCAGCAAAATAAATCCTGGATATATTTTTCATGACCCAAATCCAGGACATGACCGGCAGGCACCTAACAAGTTAAGCCTGAAGACCCATTCAACCTGTAAAATGCAGTCTTTCCTATTTTTAGGGATATCTGTACACCTGTATCAGCCAAGAACTCGATTTCTCAACACAACGATTAAAAGTATAGTGTATAAGCCAAAATGCATTACGACATTGTAATGCAACAAAGGACATCTTCCAAAACCTTACGTCAAAACTATTGAACTAACTAAAGCCCAAGACTGATGAAGTGAATCTTCACATGTTCTTTTTTTTTTTTTAAATTGACACTCAAATTACTTTTTATAAATATTGGCCTAACACAAATTGTTTCTCTAATATTGGCAAAAGCGGTTCTCAAATGATTTGGTTAAATATAAACTGCTATTCTCCCCAAGTATGTCTTGTAAAACTCTTTTTGAAAAGAAGTCCTTTCAATGTAAGTAGATGTTGAAAGCTGGACCAAGAGGACCCTGAATTAGTTATTAACAAAAATAAGACTCATTATGTCTCTGTAGGAGAGTCAAATAATTTGAAAATAGGAAATTTTAGGATACATGAAGGAAGAATACTCCATACTATTAACCTTAACAAATCGAAAGAATTTAAAACATTCTAACACTGAATTGCTGCATTAATTCTTGACTTTCACTGGGGCCCTGAAATTGAGTTGTCAACCTAAGTTGAAAAGTCAAGTGAAGCATGTTGAAAGAACGTACAGTTTGATGACTTATCAGTACCACTGATGATTCTCTCAACTTTCAGTACATTTGCTCACATAAAAAATTGGTTTTTTGACTGGTGTGCATAATCATCTCAGAATACTGAATTGAAATACAATCGAGGTGCGCGAAAGTTGACCCCGACATTACGGTCATCAAAAAATAAAATAAAATACTGAATTGAAATACATTGGGGGAATTATTATTTTGTCTTATTATACTTGTAAAAGTGGTCCATACAGTAAATTTAGTATTTTGTTTTGCTTGCACTATTTTGGTTGAGATATTCCTCAAGTGCGGAGTAATGAAACATTATCGACCCAAATAGAGCATTTATCATATTAAGGATTCATTCACCTGACCTCAGCTTGCTTGAGATTGAGACAGTTGTTATAATACACTATTTTGGTAGAAGGTCAGACATATCTCTGACGGTACATGTGAATGTGGGTTTTGGGTGCATTAAACATATAGGAAGAGTAAAAAGGCATTTCAAGGAAGTCCCTTGACCTTGTGCTACATCTCAGCAAGCGTTTAATTGGTATGGAAGTTTTTACAAAGGTTTTCAGGATCTTGATATTAGACATTTGTTGTTGGAGATGCTGATGCTTTATAATTAGAGCTTGAAAATTATGTGATCTTAATCAACGTTGTTCATTTATAGTGTATATTTGGTAGATAACTGAATCTTGTCCAATATCCAAGTTAGTCAGATTTAATCCCCTCCTGTACTTTCTCCAGGACTTGGAGATGCTCATTGCTCCTGCACACCCTGCTTAGGATGCGATGATGCTGAAAATTTCACGTGCTTGCCACTGTTCTTAATTTATTCTAGAATTATATTCCCACAAAATCTCACCTACATCATCTCATTTAAGAATTGACAAATTTTCAGCTGCATAAAATCAGTGTGTCAATGCTTTTTCCTATTTTAAACGCTTCAGACCTTGCTGGCTGAACTCAAACCAAAAATAAGTACAGTGATAAGTGCTCACCTTATGAAATTGTCTCTTATTTTTTTGGTTGCCAATAATTTGGTTTTTATTCTCTGCTTACCCAATTTTTCCTGTAGGACTTCAGTGCTTGAGAAAGCCTCCAAATCGGTTTGGGAACTTATTTTGGATAATAAAGGGATAGGGAAGGAAATAAGTGAAACAGTTGAACAAGTTTTCTGTCGATTGAGTGGAAGAGAAGCACCATTATTTGTGTCGGATTTTGGACCTCAACCAGAGAAAGGGAAAGAGAAAAAGAGTGGGCAGAAAGAGGAAAACAGTGAAACTGGGAAAGATAATTCTGAATCTGCAGTAAAGAAGAGAAAGATGAATACAGAAGAAGA